TATCTGCCATAGTTTTTGCGTTATTTGATATAAACTTTTACATTGGAACTTAGGTATGCCCAGAAACGCAAGGAACGGCCTTAAGTTTGACTAGCTGTTTCGTGTTCCAAGGCAATAGCAATAGTCTTTCAACTCATTCACAAAAGTATTTACAGTAATTTCTTCCAAATTGTTGCCTGTTGCCTCTGAATAAGCCAACCGCACTACACGAGAAACATCTGCTTTAAATTATTACAAATTCTCACTTGCTCATTAAATTCTTCTTCTTAGTTGTGTTTTGCAGACTTGTTATTAGATAGACATTTTTCTTGACTCTTAGAAATCAGTCTTAGAAATTGTCGAAGGTATATGGATCAAGAAGACTTCTTATCAAATGGTGGCTATTTGAATCGCATATGATGCGTCGTTTCGTCTCTTGGTGATTCTTCTTTCACTACATAATTTAAAGCTAATGCATTAACTGGTGGTAGCACTTCCGTCTGGGTTATCATGCTCTTTTCTATATTTTATCGAATGTTCTATTAACTTCTTTACCTTTCTTATTGTTCTGCCTATATACTTCTTTAATTATTTAAAAAGTGTCGTCGAATCGTCTTAATACATTTTCGAATTTCTCATCGTGTTTTTGTGGAGTCCACTGTACAGTGTTTTTTGTGTTTTTTTCAATGAAACTTTTAACATAACAGCTTAAAATGAAAACTAATAATAAATGAAAACTAATATGAACCAGCTTAAACATAAAATTTCTGTATTTTTTTACCAAATGAGATGAGTAGAGATACCTACTTTAAAAATTTGACCATAGCTTTGAAGATGGCTTTGTAAGCCGAAAGCGCTTATCCAGGAAATAAATGTTTACACATTTCAAAAATACTTTTCTTTTCCATTCTTTGATTTTAATTTTTGTTTACACTGCGTCGTATCTTTTTCAACCTTTTATTCTATAAGTGGATTATGGTAAATAAATTATGGACTTAATATCGGTTCCTGGATACGACTTGATTGATGTTGAGCAGTTAAAGTTTTTTTTAATAATCATGTTATCTATTTGAATTCCCACTATTAGACCTTGGAATATTCTGAGGTGATTTCTGGCTGTATTTCTGTTTTCTACGGAGGAGTAAAATTATTTTAAAAATGTATGAGTTATTAAATTAATTAACTATTAATTGACACAAGAGCTTTTACAAGTTATTTAAGCGGCCCTGAGGGCTATTAGGAACCCTAAGGTAAACTTTAGGCTGGTACGGGAATGCCAAAAAGACTGATGAAATGTAACACTGGTAAACTGTATCAAGCCATCGAGGAATATATGTCAAAGTAAGAGTTGATGGACATGCCAAAAGAGGATCAGCTTCAGAAGCTTCAGAAGGGAAAAGCGTGGATCCTATCCTCTCACTGGAAAACAAACAAAAATCAACTAACAGAGTAACAGAGATAGCTACTGGACATATTATGCGACTGTTTCAAGGGGACTTGAAGCTACAGCCGCAATACTAAAAAATCTGAATAGTCTCAAACTCTTTTTCGACACTACCAAATTACTCAAAAACGATTATCATGAATAAATGAAAGAGATATAATAAGTCAAATAATTGCAATGATACCAGTTATAATACTTAGACATTTTTTCCGAAAGTAAAAATGTAGCTCAAAAATTACTACTTAGGTTTTCTTTCAGTTTATTCTGAGGCAGCGTTTAAAAAGAAAGCAAACGCTTTGTTAAATTTTTGACCCGTGCGAGCTATTTGATTTAGATTATAAGTACATGTCATACTTTGGGTTTATATATTAAATATAACTCCCCATTTTAAGACTTCCCCAACAGCTCTCTTTGTCTTGTTCAGTACCATATTTAAACGAATATATGTCAGATTGTAACTTTATTCGTAACTTCTTACATGTTTCAAAGGCTTACAAAAATCACTTTGTATTTTTGTACTCTGCAGATCCCTAGGTATACACAGAGTGTGTTAGAAATGTAAAGAACTTATTTGCCCTACAGCTAAATAGAAATCTTGTCCGCATTAAAGTATTTCTCTGAAAGTTATAAATTATTATTAAGTTTATTTATGTGATTAACTTAATAATACAGCTAGGTCTTACATATTCACAGAATGCGTCTATATTCACCTTGACTTGTACTTGACTGATACGGAACTATCAGTCAAGTACCTAGAAGTCCACCTCGACAGGAAACCAAACTTCACGAAACACGTCCAAGAAACCAAGATAAAAGCAAATGTAGCTAAAAACTGATACAACCTTATATTTTCAGGACAACTCCCCTAACGAAGGCCAAGAAGATCCAATTATACCAGGCCTACGTTAGGTCGGTGATGTTATATGCTGTAACAGTTTTTTTTATATAATTAAAATATTAATTATTTTCATTCCGTTTACCCCCGTGATGATACGCTGATGGTCGTGTTTACGATTAGAAATTTTTATGGCACTCTACCGACTACCAAACTATCACGGAATTTCCCTGAGTACGAAAGGTTTTTAATCCTTTCCTTTGTAATCATGAGTATGAAAAGAACTAAATCTTTCCGGCTTTAAGGCGGGTTTCTGTTTGATACTTTGGCAAACAAAATCGTCGAAGGCATTTTATGGTATGTTCGGTAAAAACCCAATTCACTTCTCGATGTTCGTTAGAATCTTTTTAGCTTCTTGGAAATGGATACTGTCTCATAATTTTTAAGTGGGAGATATCCCTTCTTCCTTTTTTTGTAGTTGGGTAAATTTTTGCAAGAAAGACTCACTTCTAAGTGGGCCGTTGTGGAGAAAAGACGCTTTGCTCATATTATCGTATCTGTTATCGTACCGTTCTCTGTGCATTTTCTTTTTAAGTGTGTATACACTTGTATGTTTGAGTTTTTTTATCTTATACTGTATTAGATTAAATATAGTTATAAAGTACCTTTAATGTTAATTAACTTCAGTGCTGGCTACAAGTATAGTATTAGAGTATTAGCTTCAGTGAATTAGTGCAGCAATCATCAAAATTTACTGTAAGTTATCATAATCATTATCTACAATTATCTGGGCGAATAACATGATATGGTATCATATTATCTGCAATCATCTGGACGAATCTAAAGTCATCCATTTCTTCACCTATAGTTGAGAGTAACCACTGAATTTTGTATTCAATTTAAAGAACATTCTATATTTTCTTACGAACTTTCCATCAGCTACTAAGAAATTTCAATAAATAATATTTACGAACATTTAGTTCTCAATCATTAAATAATAGTGCGAACCGATAATCGACTTAACCAAGAGCGGTTTGGTAAAATTTTTATTTTTGTAACCTTTTTGTATTCTTGTAAATTTAGATTTGATTAATTTTTGTTATTTGCTATAAATGTTATTCATTTTTTTGTAATATCTCGAGATACGCTCATAAAACTTTATTTGTGCATGATTGTATTATAGGTATATCTTTATAAAGGTATTTTCTAGTTATATTACTGCTTATTTTTATATGTATACCACCATTTAATAATTGATGGTGTATTTTTATCTTGTGTGTACATTCAGCTACCGATATCGTTTTGTTGTTGAATATATTGTGTTTGTTTTATGTACGGTTTTTATTTGTCGACTCCTAACAAGTTTCCTGATATAACCATAACTCTAAATATTTGCTTTTTACCTTTAAATATTACTATAACTTTGACCAGTAGAAAGATCAGGCTGATTAAGTTTCGTAGGTAAGTACGTGTAATACCTAATATATTATTATTTGTTTATATAGTGTGTTGACCAAATTTATTTAATAATTAGCTGTTGGTATCTTTTCTTGGGCTTGATTTCTAAACCTAAATATCTTTCCTTACCTCTTTACTTTTCTAAGCGTTCTTAATTTTCTCCTTAAACCCCAAAAAATTTAGTGGCGCCCTGTTTCTATCTTATCTTATCTTTGGTAATTTTACCCATCTATCTTTTTGTTTATTTCTGTATCTTTTCTAATATATCTCATCTTGTTCTATCTTTACTCATTTCGTCCGTTGGACCCATTCCCGGTTCCAAAAGCTAGTTTCGAACTCACGACTCGCTCTCCACAAACCATCTGGCTGCCGTCCGCAGTGTCTCCATTGGTGATCTTTCTAGCACCATCCAAAAAAGGTTTCCGATGTTACAATGCAGTTCCAGTATGGGGTTCAACTGCAGTAACCAAATAGAAGAAAATAGAGAGGACTGAGACGTCGTGTTATCGACTAGTCGGCGGTCCAATATGAGAGGATAGAGTTATAAATGCAGCCATCCAGAAAAGGCTCCAGTACACACCACTGAGGGAGGTGGCTGAGAACAGGACAAGATACTTCTTCCACCCATCCACAAGAAGACTACGAAAAACAAGAGACATCCTCGATAGAAATCGAATCCAGAGGATGTATAGAAATAAACAGGTTGATTAACCATCTGATCAGCAATTAGCCAGGTTGCAACGTCGACCAAAGATAGTAGGTATATAATGTCTGAAAACAAGTACCTACAGAAAAAAATGCCAATGAGTCCATGACAGAAAAATACAAGGTCCGAGAGGAGGAAGTTCAACCTGTAGGCGGTGCAGAAGCGGGACGTCAAGAAAGAAGGCTATAATATATATTTTAAAGTTAAAATATCTTAGGTACGAAATGTTAATTATGTTAAGGGCAAGAAACGTTTTTATTTTTTTAATTTATTCTTTGGTATTAGCATTAAACTGTGGTCTTATCAACGGTACGAGTCATGTGATTATTTGAAACCCACCAGCCACCAGTTCAAGACTAAACTGAAGTGTTGGTTGCGTGCATCCACACTTCAGATTATTTTGCATTTTAGAAACCATTACAAAATAATCAAATTTCAAAAAATTGTTGTAAAAGCAAAAGTATACATAAATATAATTTCTTTACTTTTTTTGTGCAAATAATGAAACTGGTTTTCCCATATTCACTAGCAATCATAAAACATCTGCCCCTTTTTAAGAATTAAGTAATCTTATCAGCAGTGCACTAAAAATTGATCAATGTAAATAAATAAACCAGTCCTTATCGTTAATATCTGCGCCATACCACACCACAACATAACGATTTACATACGAAACTTTTGAATTGGATCTCTACCACGGCCTTGAAAAGAAGAAATATCGCCTTGAATCTCCCCTTCCATTACACATTTTGCTGTTTTCATTTTTATTTTACCAAGTTATCTAGTCTCATCGCAGCTTTGCATTGTTATTATTAAATAAATACAAACCGGCGTTCAATTTTGAGGATAATTATGCAAAACGGGTTGATTTTTGTTTAATGTTAACTGTTTTTTACCTGTGTTAAGTGTGTCATTGTGCCAGAAGTTAGGTTAGGTAAGTTATTAATCATCGATTTTTGTTAACCTTTGTTTTGACGAATTTATCTCTTCTGCGACAGTTTTCATGGCATAATTCCGTGTTTAGAATTATGGAAAAAGTATGATATATTTTAGCCCAATGTCGTAATTCCTTGTTTTTATTGTTTTTTATGCCTATCCTAGAATTTAACGATTTACTATCCTAGTTATTATCCTAATTGTACATCAACATGCGAATTAAATGAGAACACAAATTTCAATTTCATTTAATTAATTTAATGAAGATACTGCTATCAAAAGCATTATTACTTAAGTAGTCCAACATTGTTTGTGCAATCGGCAAATAGTTTAAATAATGAAGGAATTGCTTAAAGAAGTCTTGCCAAAATAAACACATCTAGGGTTAGAATTTTAGAATAATTGTGCAAATGTAATGCATGGTGATCCGAACTCTAAAACCATCAATTTTTGTTTTTTTACATGTAATATCGTTTATTACTTCACACAACCAAAACAACTAGCAGCAACAAATTTTATTACATGCACTGGCATTTGGTAAAGCTCATCCTAAAGTAAAGTATACAAAATCCTATTTTTAACCACCTAATTACAGGTCTAAAATATATTTTTTTAAATTGAAGTATTCATGTTTACTTATGCTAGAAGCACTAATTACTATTTCATTTTTGGAAACACTTAAATCTATAGACTGAATTTTGTTGGAAACATAAATATACATGATTATATTGTTAAATGACCTCATATTTATTCAACATAGTAAAAGAAAGATAATTATCTTGATATAAACATTGCTACAACACTGCTCATTGAATAGGAATTTTTAATACTGTATTCCTTGAAATATCTGAGGGAAGATATATAAATACTTATATAAATCAGAAGATCATTTGTAATAAGTTATTTTTTTACATTTTATAACTAATGATAATGAAAACTACTTTTACATCAGTATGTAAAATAAAATTAATCAGTTATATATGTATTTTATTTATTATTTAGAAGGAGTTAAAGGATGTAAATAGGCCTTGTATGACAGGAACACTTTTAATATTACTGAAAAATTATAGATAGTATTCCACCTACTCACCTGAAGTTAAAATGATAAGTTATCAAATACTAAGGTTATTAAAATGTAATATTCAATCAATTGTGGGTATATATTCTGGAAAACCATTGGCTTTTTTTCTCGAAAACCCATTGGAATATTACTCTGTTTTTCTTTTTGCATTTTTTCATAATATTTAATTATATTAATTTCTGATATTAATTGGAGTGCTATAATAATGTGCTAGAGTAATTCTAATTATGTGTTCTTAAAAAAGGAAAACATAAGTGGTTACTTTGGATTAAAGGTTGACAAATAATGAAATTTATAATTCTGAAAAAGCATATAGTTTAATTATTTTTTGACAGTAAAAGTTAAAATATAATGCATTTTTTAGCACATATATAGTAGTTGCTTTATAATATAAAACCCAGACAACTAACTTAACATCACAGCACCTAATATAGTTTTTTTCACCAGAAAAATTGTCTGTAAGTTCATACCTAGTAAAAACAAATGTTGGCATTTACTACTCTAACTGATAAATAATCTGTGATTATCACCCTCTCTGTTGATTCAATTTATTTAGTACTTTTGAAACTCTTTATTTATTTCTCATGTTTTCCAATTCCAATTTTATCTTTTGTAATTTGTTATTTTTCTTATAAGTTATTTACGGCTTATGTTTATATTATATATTAGCTAATAGGTTTCAATGGAGGTGTTTGGACTAAGACTTTTTCACACAGATATGGAAGATCCTTTGTTAAAACCAAACTATTGTTCAGTCAAAATAATCTAGACTTTTATAAAAGTCTATTATATCATATAGTCTATTGTATCTTATACTCTCACTTACACCTCCTGTATCCAGAAACAACTTAGTATGATACACAAAACATGCGTAATATTTAACAGTTTTATTAATTCAAAAATAGGCACCCTTTCTATTTTGCATTAATGAAGAGTAATGGCTGCAATATGGTTCTCTTTATCTCTCCACTCTATGGTAATGGCTCAAACTAGACTGGAATGTTTTGGCGCATTTATAGTGTATGTGTCTACAATCAGTAATCTCAACATAACTTTTAGCTGCTTCAGTTTGTCAGCCATACAAGCTGTGTTTACAGTTATATCGTATCAAAATTTAGGAAAGTATATTGTATAGATATAGATACTGGATTACAGCAGCTAGAGATAGAGAGAACTCGAGACGTTTGGAGGAGGCCTATATCCAACAATGGATGTGAAAATGGGGCTGGATGATTGTATAGATATATTGAATTGTGTTCTGTATTTTCATAGAATGTGTCCTCTACCAGTTTGCCAATTTTCAGAGTTGATATCTGAGTTAGCGGGGTTTAGTGAGAAAATATGATTACTTTAAAGCTTACATAAGTTCTGATTTCTGACGCCGTCAGAGTAATTTTGTGTACAAAACACCTTCTAATAACCAATAACCCTTTCGCTTGGCTTTGACTTTAACATTTTCCCCTTAGGCTTTACCACAGAATAATAAACAATCAGAATGCCCACTCTCAGATGCCGCCTTTGAAGTTTTTCAGTACGCGCGCTATGTTTTAGAAGGAAAGAAAGGATGTTTTGTGAGGTTATGTAATTGTTTATATTTATGTTTAATTATATTATATTTATGTTATTATATTTAATGTTAATATAATTGTATAGTATGTCTATGATTGCCGTAAGTCAATTAAACCGGGTTAATTTTTCTATGCACACCACATAAACAATACTGGTTCCCTCTAAAATATGGCGGAACGTCTGCGCGAAGGAGATGCGCGTACTTAATTTTCCATGGAGAGTGGGCATTCTGATTGTTTATTATTCTGTAGCTGTACTAAGCTCCTATTTCCATTTTTGACCATCTTTCAACTTGCAGCTCTTTGGAATAATACAGAATGGTTCTGACGCAATACAAAGAAGACCACTTTAGTTTATTATTTTTTATTATTATTACATTGCATGTTTACAATTAACTGTATACACAGAGTAATAAGAAAATAATCTGTAAGTAAGACACCATCCAGAGACAGTTCTCTAAGTGTTATTGAGGTAGGTCTTCTGGCCATACTCTCTTCAATCCCCTTCCAGCAAGTGGTTGGGTGAATAAATTATTTCTCAGCTCGTTATTGTCATTAGTGTTGCGATTTTTGTATTTTATTGAGTTAATTTTTTATTATGTCCTTAAGTAATGGGATCTCCATTATATCATAAATAATGTTTATTATTTATGACGATTTGCCTAAATTCACATTTCTGTACAAATCAGTTCAATTTGCAGTGAGGAAGTTGGTGCAAACAAACCGAAACTTAACTCTGATAAAACGCAAAACTTGGTTATATCTGCAAATAACTTACATAATAATGAAGATAACGAAGAGACTGTAAAACTATAGGGAATAACCATAGATAATCGACTGTTCTGGTCGGTTCATATCTCACAACTAAAGAAAATGCTATCAAGTTCATTATTTTTCGCCAACTAGCAAGGGTTTCAACTTTGAAATGTCACCTCAAATTTTCAGAATGCAAAAGAAAGCTATCAGAATTTTAGCAGGGGTTAGTTATATAGAATATTGCCGAACTTTCTTTATCAAATTCAAAATTATGCCTCTACATTCTTCTTCTGGTTCCTATCCGTTTCGGATGTTGGAAATCATATTGGCAATCATGACCTTGCTCGCTTCGGCTCGAAACAGCTCCGTTGAGGTTTTCTTAAACCATATTCTTAAATTCCGCAGCCATGATATTCTCCTACCGGATCCTCGCTTACCTTTGGCTTTACCTTGCAATATAGACTGTAGCAGGGAGTAACGGTGCTGATTTCTCATAACGTGTCCCAGATATTGCAATTTTATGCGTTTGATCGTAAACACCATCTCTGGTTCCTTCTTCATTTTTCCTAGAACTTCCTTGTTCGTGATCCTTGCTGTCCATGATATTCTCAGCATTCTTCTATAAAGCCACATCTCAAATGCTTCAAGTTTTTTAATAGTGGCGTCTGTAAGCGTCCATGCCTCCGCCCCGTACAACAACACAGAGAAAACATAGCATCTCAAATGTGTCATTTTTGTATCAAGGGATATGTTGTGACTTTTGAAGATGGCGCTTATTTTGCCAAAGACCGTTCTTGCCTTTCCTATGCGGCACTTTATTTCCTGTAAATTGCTCCACTGTTCGTTAATAATAGTTTCCAGGTAACAATACTGTTTTACTCGCTCTATCTGCGTCCCATTAATGTATAGATGAGCCCCATTTATATTCTCCTTGCTGATAATCATTTGTTTCGTTTTGTGGGTATTAATGTTTAGTCCGTACTGTTGACTGTACTCGTTTATTCTGTTCATTAGCCTCTGAAGTCCCTCTAAACTATCTGCTATCACCATGGTGTCGTCGGTATATCTACCATTGTTTACTCTTTCACCACTTAGAAGGATGCCTTCGTCTATTCCGTAAAGAGCCTCGTTAAAAATTTTCTCTGAGTACATATTAAATATCAACGGCGATAGGATACATCGCTGTCTAACTCCACGTAGTATTTTTATGTGATCTGTTTCTTCTCTGTTAATTTTCATGTATGCGGTCTGATTCCAGTAGAGTTCTGAAATTATTCTGAGGTCTTTGTCATCCAGGTCTGCCTCTTTTAAAATGTTTATCATCTTTTGATGTTGAACTCTGTCAAATGCCTTTTCATAGTCGATCAAGCACGCGTGTACGTCGCAGTTAACGTCCCTGCATCTTTGAATCAGTACCTGTACTACGAAAAGTGCCTCTCTGGTACCCACTGCGTTAATGAAGCCGAACTGTCTGTCCGATATTTGTTCCTCGCACTTCTTATAAATTCTTCCATGGATGGCTCTAAGAAACAGTTTCAACATGTGGCTCATTAGGCTGATTGTTCGATATTCTTCACACTTTTTAGCCCCCTG